GGATTCTCCAGAATAGTAATCAAAGAAAGTGTGACCAACTTTTATATTGCATAGTATTTACCAAGCTGGTATCATGGGATAAATATGACATCATTCTTTAGGACACAACTGCAGGATTTTCTGAGCTGGCATCCCTTAGACTAAGGACACATGTACACGACAAAACTACCATGCCTAGCCGTGCCATGCTCAAATGTGTTGCAGCTCTATTCAGGTTACCTTCCAAACCCAAAGCAGTATAAAACAGTGTATTTAGCCAGCCAGGGTTACTGCATGAATGTAGCACTGTGGTGGATTTGAGAGTCATCACATGTTAAGCTGCATGGTGTGCCTGAGGGAGCTGCTATTAGGTATGGGAAGTTTGATATGCAAATATACCTACCAGTAGAGCGTTTCTTGTTCAAAGGCTAATTGTACCAATGGACACTTTTTACTCTCTCAGACATTAATATGTGCTGTAAAATTCCAAGTCTAGTTTCAGTGATAGAAAACTGCCTGAAAATTGTAGGAGTCTATAGTGCAAGAGAGAGATTTGTCTTTTTTGATACAGTCCAGATTATTTTCTTTCTTTCCTAAGAGTAAATAATGCCAAAATAAGACGATCTTAATGTTAGTTCTAGGCACCCTCCTCCCCTTAGTGAACCAGTGAATGTGCACCCATACCAAAACTCAGGCCCTCACAGAAAGAATTGATAGAAGGAATAGAAATGACCTACAATATCAGGAAAGCATGGGTTAACCATTCGCAAGCTAAGCAACGACCCAGAGAAAATACAGCAACACCACAATGTCACAGACAACCAGGTGGCTCATTAACTTCTGCTCAATGGTAACACTTCAAACAAACATCCTAAAATACAGATTTAGATAGCAAACTGATCTGGAGGAAAGTCAGTTTAGCATGCCAAACACAATGGATGAACTCATGGGAATAACTGGACTTGACAACATATGCATGGAGATCAAACACCTTGGGAGTTATGCCTTTTTAGCAATTGCTCATCAACCCTTAGAATTCATTAATTATGGTAATAGGCCGATGTAATAACTCTATTAAAGCCAGGGAAGGATGTCTCTGGGCCAGAGAACTTTAGGCAGTGTCACTTCTGTGCCATCTTCATAAACTTTACAAACACCTTATTCTCAATCACCTTTCACCTGAGATTGAACAACATCTAATACCAGAACAAGCTGGATTTAGACCAGACACATCCTGCATTGGCCAAATACTAAACATCCCCCAGAATATAGAAAAAGGATTCAAGATAGGGATGACAACAGGTGCTGTTTGCAGACCTATCAGTGGCATATGGCACAGTCAACCACTGAAACCGCTTGCCAAGTCTATAGTATGAGACACGACTAACATTTAGTACAGCCATGCCATTTCTTGCACAGTCATACATAAAAACACCTATTCTCCAATCTGTTTTGAAGAATAGATGTTTTTATGTAGAACTGTGCAAGAAACAGAGCCGCTGGTAACAACAATGAAACACTTTGTCGCACTGCCCAGGGAAGTATGCTAGCACCAATCCTTTTTAACATACATACCAATGACCAACCCATACAGAGTAATATGAGGAACTTAATATATGCTGATGATGTATGCATCACATTGCAGGAGGACTTCACCACTCTGAAGAACAGGCTGACATGTGCGCTGAGCAACCTCTCAGACTGAATTTTATTAGAAAATGTTAAGAGTCATGAACAAAAAAATGACAAAGCCGTAAGAGAAATACAGAGTGCCCAAGTGACATATGGGGGTGAGGAGGGGAATGCAAATAGGTAACAGAAAGTACACTGTTAGCCAACTAAGCCCAGGAGTGAAGAGGAGGGGTGAAGGGTGGGGGGGGTTGTGATACTGAGAGAGTTGCCTCCATTTTCCTGAGCAGCGACGTGCCTTGTGTTACTCCACTGCAGATTATGCATGTTCAATATAGGAACAATCAGTTCATGTCAAGAAAATGGAACCAGTTCTAAACAACAACTGTCATTAGGTAACTGGATATCTAAAGCCAACAGCATAGGACGGATTAAACTTACTGGCTGGCATTGCACCACCTGATATCAGAAGAACGGTAGTGAGCCAAAAGAAAGATCATGGCACATGGAAGATCCTGGGCATCCATTCTATGGTCACAGACAAGTAAGTAACAGCTTAAAATGTAAAAGGGTTTTGTGACCAGTGTTGTGCTGTTGGACACAATGGCTGACAGGGTATGACTGAGGTTATTGGGGGAAAGGTCACATTCAATCAGGTACTCTGAAATGGACCTGGAACTCTAGGAGAACTGTCCAAGAGGAGTGGATTTAGACTGGCCAACATGGCGATCCCTGAATCACCCAGGCATGCAAAATGGAAGATCAAAAAACAAACGTGATCAAATGGGGCTACTCTAATGACAAGAAGAAGGTACTGCAGTGGAAACATCATAGCTTTACACGGTGTGCCTACTTCTGAGAACCACAGGATGACACAAATATATGTGAGGGTGGTGAAGTGCAAACTATAGAGCATCTGCTTATTTGCCAACTCCTTTGTGAGACCTGTATGAAGGAGGACTTTGCTGCAGCAATGGGAAGAGCCATTGCTTGTGTGCAATTCTGGAAAAACATCTGGTTTATGACAAGGACATGAGAAGACGAACAGAGAGCAACTGAAAATGGCTACTTCCAATGTTGACTGTCCTTTGAAATCATGCAATCTCCTTTTATAATATAGCCAGGTACAATCCCATTGCCTGTATGTCATAATAGATGCTAAAGCAGCAGTAATCGGTTGCTTTTTTAGGTTCTGTTTCATACACCAGAAAGGAGCTTCTGCAGTTGATTCCAGGCTAAGGAGCAGGGTTAGGGAAGTAGGTGTGGTGTTGAATGTTTGACAGGCTGTGGTTTCTGTACAGCTGCTCAGTACTTTGTCAACGCTGTGTCATCCCAATATGCACAGTAATAGGTGGCTGCATTATCCTTGTTTATTTGCTTTACTGTCAGAGCATAGGTGTCCTTAGAGGGGTCCCCGTACGCATCAAATTTTCCTTGACTGGATTCTTTGTCAAAGATGGTTTTTCCTGATGACAAGTAGAGAATTCGCTCTGGAGCCCTCCCAGACTTCTGTTGATACCAGTGAATATAAGTATTGCCCATTCCAGAAACATGACATTCAATTAGTGCAGTTTTGCTTTCTTTCTTTGTGATGGATAATTTAAATTGTCTCACCCCTTTGGCATCTCCGCCTAGAAAAAAAGGGACAAACATACTATGAAAATAAAATTAAATTAAGTTGGATGATCTCAAATCATATCTGTTTGTAAAAGCCCAGGGCAAAACATCAACTTACAAGAGCAAATTACAGAAACAACAAGAAGAAACGGCAGTGGAAACATGATAGCTTTGTTATAGTGTGCCTGCTGAGAACCACAGGATCTAAGACCAAGGAAATGGCACGCTGGGTAAGACGGAGTGACTCATATACTAAATATCCAATGGTAGTCTCCTGGCTGCGTGTGAGCTATTGCAATGCATCATTGATTTACTTTTGTTGTATACGAAAGTTCATAAGACTGAACTTTTCACAGATTGAAATCCCAGAAGTGCCCACTGTATTCATTTAGTCTGACTTCCTGTAGGTCACGGACACACAAGTTCAGCTCTTCATCCACTTTTTTTCAGATCATTCCTGCCATGGACAGAGTTTCTGTCTTTTTACATACAGCCTCTCTTCTTTCCATAACTTTATATTTTCTTGTGCCCTGTGTAACGAGTGATCCAAATGACTCTTCACCACAGAGCTATGCTTTTTATAACCCCTTAATCACAGGCCAACAGCTCTCATTCATGCTAAACCCAGAAATGCAGTGGTGAAACCTTTATTAGGGCATGTTCCTATGACCACTCTGAAGATCAACATTTTCTGCACCCTTAAGTGCAGCTCTGGGGAGTGCCCCTGGGCTAGCTTCACAACATCATTTCCAGCACTGGGTAAGTGGGCTGTGCCTGAGAGCAAGCACTCCCAGCAGTGCTGGGGGCAAGCTTTCAGGGTGGGGACTGACTGCTACTGCTACTGCAAGGGAGGTGAAAGGCTGAGGCTGGAATTGGTGAAGAAGATGCCTCATTTTTAATGAGGGAACTAGCTACCCGCCACTTACCCTGAAATTCTTCAGCACTCCTATAAACCTCCAAATATATATTTAACCTTCTTCTAAGACACTCATTTATCTGATAATGAGTCATATAAGCTATCCAGGAGGAGAGTATTTCAGCATCATGGTTTAGAAAGTCTCATATTTAGATTACCTTGCATTATCATGCTCGACTTCCTTCCTTCATTATTCCAGCAAGTATCCAAACTGCCTGAGCAAGGTGAATGAAATCATTGGAATTTAATCGAACTTACTACTCCCGTCATGCTGTCAAGTATCAATGTATATTGAAAAATTTCTAATCAAGTTTTCTGTGCTATTTTGTAACTGCCTGCAAGCAATAGTAATCTACATGTGATAATTAAATTAGATTTGGGACCATATAAGGATAGGTGGAGGATGAGGAAGAGTTGACCTCTAAGTCAGCGGCTCTCAAATATTATTGTACCAGGACCCATTTGTAAACATTGATGGCCAGTCCCAACCCAGTGGCCCTCCCAACCCACTGCCACCCATCCCCAAATGTGTGGGGTGATGGGGGCATGTCAGGCCCCCCCAAGCAGCCTCTCAGAGGCCAGAACTCAGGTAGCCTGAAAGAGAAAAGCCATAGTTTCCCACTTTTTTCTCCTTTAAAGGAGAATCCATTGTTAAAGTTTGTTGATCCATTTTAAAGTTGGTTTGTGACCCTTTCATATATTCTTGCGACCCACTTTTGGGTCATGACCCACGGTTTGAGGAACGCTTCTCTGTATGCTAAGGAGATTTTTAGTTACATCTGCACACTGGATTTGACACTCTAGAGTTTCTTTCACTTCATTGCCAGGAGTAAGCAGTGTCAAAGCAGGAATATCTTCATGTCAGCTGTAGGCAAACTGGCATCATGCACCCGTATCAAGCTTCAGTCACTCACAGAAAATGACTGAAAATGGGTGCCACCATTACTTGCTGTCTTAGGTAATCACTTGATCTCCTTCTCAGTAAGGTCACATGCAATCCCAGTGGTTGCCCACAAAACAGAGGCCAAAGCAGCAACAATATATGACTTTTCATGAGTTATGGCACAATCCAGGAAGGAGTTTCTGTAGCTGGTTCCAGACTAAGGGGCAGGGGCAGGAAGGTACTTGTGGTGTTGAATATGTGACATGCCGTGGCTCAGAGTACAGAGAAAGTTTCTGTACAGCTGTTTGGTGCTTTGTTATCACTGTGTCAGCCCAGTAGGCACAGTAGTAGGTAGCTGCATCGTCTTTGCTGGTTTGCTCTATTGTCAGAGTACAGGTGGAGTCAGACAGGATCTTCTCTGCTTCAAACTTCCCTTTATCAGAATCTCGGTCAAAGATAGGTTTTCCTGATGACAAGTAGAGAATCCTCTCTGGAGCTTTCCCTGGCTTCTGCCGATACCAGTGTATATAAGCACTGTCCAGGCTTATGCCAGAAACATGACATTGAATTGGTGCAGTTTTACGTTCCTGTTTAGTGATGGATACCTGAAGCTGCTTGAGCTCTTGGGCATCTCCATCTGCAAACAAAGGAAGATATAAAGATACCATGAGTATGAAACTGAATGAAGTTGGAGGATCTCAAATGATTGTTCCCTGTTGTTCCTGCTCATAGAAGCCCATGCTGAAACTCCAACTTACAAGAGCAAAATATTGAAATGACAGGAACAACCATCAGTAGAAACATGCTAGCTATATTATGGTGCACCTGCTTCTCAGATCCAAAAGAAAAGGGGGGCATCCTGTTCAAAGGAGGTTATATTAATGGACGGAGCAGTGCATTTGTGGAGAGGAAGTGACTCTTATACAAAGTATCCAATGATACCTCTTTCTGGCTGCTCATGATCCAGGTAATATAGATTAACTCTTGCTCTAACTAAAAATTCAAATGGCTAGAATTTTCATTCATACCTGCACACTCGCATAAAACTCCTGGCATGAGATATTCATTTATATACCAATATGTGACCAAAAAATTATCCTGGCATGAGGAAGCAACTCCAGTATTTTAACAGCCTATCCTAGGACATATCCAGGCTAGATTTTCTTATGCTATCATCACATATGGAAATCTAGACTTGATTGCACTTTCACAGATTGTTGCTTTCTCAGTGGGAGGCAGAGTTTTGTTACTTCTGTGTTTGTATGGGAGAGAAATTCTCTCAGATTTAAAATATTAAGGAATTCACTGGAAAAACACATGCTCTCAAACTGGAATTATCTAGGAGACCAAATAACACACTTACCCTTGGTAAAGGTAACAAGGACCACTTAATGAACATTTTTTGGAACTTGTTTTTGTCTCAATTGAAAGACAGCACCACTATCAGCATGGTAGCCATTAACATTAGCCCTGGGTATTAGTTTAACTCTGGCACCTAGGGAAAAATGCTGCCTATTAACTTATTGGCTTGACTTCTTAATGTATTTAAGATTTTGTTGGCTATATCACATTCATGACAAATACCTGTTCCAGGCAAGAATTTTAGCCCCCCACAAGAATTTTACTAAATTTTGCAGTAAAATTAGTTTACCTGTCTGCTGTTATTCCCTAGGTCAGTATTTTATGTTGTCGTAAATTTCCTCCTTCAAATCTCTAGCAGAATCCCAACATTTTCCATGAAGCCTTCAAAAGCTAATCCCTCTATTTTTGTGCTATATGGGGACTTCTACAGTACTTTTGTAGTTGTTTTTTGGTAATAGCCAACTGGATTTGTTTGAGAAACAATTGTGCATGGCCATCTAAAAGAAGGAGAAGAGGGCAAGTGGGGGTGAATAACAACATCAGCAGGTCAAGGTCCTAATTAATAGCATATGTTTGTTTAGGAGAAGTAACAAAAGAAACTTACCATACCGAACTGAAGCTACAGAAAGACCTAGAGCAGCAATATTTTTATGGATTTGCCAGGACAGGGATCTCAGGGAAATATCAGTGCTGCCCAGAGGTGCAGAGACAGGTGAATTGGGAGAGGAGGAGTGACTCACTTACGTAACATTGATAAAGTTTTACTGGTTGCGGGTGGACTGTTTTAAAGTAAGGGAGAGTTATTGTTCTATGCTTAAAGTGACTTTGGATGAATGTCAGTGATGATAGGCAAGAATCACATGCTACAACGGTATTTACTGTATCATGCAAGTTCATTTGGTAAATAAGTATTGATCTCAATTATGATTTGTACTTATGGGTAGAATGCCCTCGTTGGAGTTCCTCAGCTATGTCATTGCCTTCTGTGCTGTCCACTCCCTGGAGCTGCCCCTTTGCGAGATGAAATCAGTTTAAAACATTTCTCCAGTAGTTCTTCAGAAACTGAAGCCATTCCCTCTTGTAGCTCTAGAGAACCCTCATATCAATGGGGCTGGGCTTGATATGCATTATACTTTGAATCACCATGAACTTTTATTATAATTTAGAAAAGATAATGTCCTAACGTCCAATGAAGGTGAGTGCAGCCTGCTTTCTTGCCAGGTTTTTTTTTCTGGTGAACTGGTATCAGAGACTAAACAAAGAGGGAATCTTCAGATAAGAACACTTTAATTCCATCAAAAAGCCAATTCTGTGTGATAATGGGAATAATTAAATAGCTGCATAATAAACTAAATCAAATTGTTCTTGTTTCCAAAACGTTTTTTTAAATATGTGCTGAAAAGCTGTCATTCCAATTTGCAGTGCTTAGTTAGTTGACTCTTGGTTTGATCCAAAGCCTATTTAATCTCACACAATTGAAATCAGAATTACTCTCACATGATTAATCCTAAATGGAATTGATGGAGAATGAAATTAGACTCTCTAGCAGAGGAGGATAGTAGGAAAGGTGAGAAGCAATTACTGAGGCATCATGAGAAGATATTTCGCTTGGGCTTACTCATGGACTCCAGTAGCTCAGCTTCAACTTTGCTTTTTTATGTTTCAGCAGGTGAATTGTGTCAGGAACAGTGACTTCACTAGAACCAACACATGCAGCTAGATGAGCACCCAGGCTGTCACTTATGAAAGCTTATGACACTCTGAACCAATCAGTCTTTACAGTGTCACCCTGCCCTACCTTCTGTCCAGCTTCAGACTATCACAGCTAACTACCTCCTCTAAAATGAGGAGCGAGAGTCCCTCTTGCTTTCCATAGTAACCCTTTTGGACAATTGCTAACATTTTGCTTCACATAAGACTTGCAGCTGGGGGGAGAAGAAATTCTCAAAGACATACATTGAAGTTAGACAAACAGCTCCCATTGGCTGTCATTTGTGCCTTTGAAAAACTCTCACCAGCCTCCCAGTGGTAACCACCAGTTCTGTGGGGGTTAAGGACTGTCTGCAAATTGCTAGTTGTCATTTGGGGCCTTTGACAAAAGCCAACAAAGAGTTTCTGTAGCTGGTTCCATGCTGAGCAGCCAAACTGGGGAGGTTACTCTGATTTGAGAGGCTGTGATTCAAAATGCAATGTGATTTTTTTTATAGGTTGACAATGGTTTTCTAGTGCTGTGCCTGTCCATGTGGCACAGTATTAGGTAACGGTGTCACTGGAGGTTATGGTACTGTTGGAGTGATGTTGTAGCTATGTTGGTCCAGGGAAAATATCAGAGGCGAGGATTTTTGCAGGTGACATCTATTATTACACCAGCTTGGAGGTACAGCTGTATCTTTCTTCAGGTCTTTGGGAGACAAACAGACAAAGCAGAGCTGAATAGCAGGTGGAACAAGGACTTGTGTAAAATTTCATATGTAAATAAAAACAGAGTATGGTGGAACTTACCAGGTAGCCAACAGACAAGAGATGCAGTAGAAAACCGGTAAGTGAATGAGCAAGTTCATTTAGGATGGTCATTTTCACTTGTGAAGTGCACAGATTAGCAAGTATCAGGTAGATTATAGCAGGCCATGCAGTCCTTGTCTATGCTATTATTTCAATTGGCTGATCATTAGTGTCCAAAAGCTAATGAATTTTTGTTCCTAGGCTCCTTTTTTGAAGGTATTTTATAACAGGTTTAGCACTGGAGGTTATGCTATTTATAGTCAGGATACAGACCAACTGGTGAAGTTCCTTTTCTGCATTGAATCTCCCTTATCAAAGTCATTGTCAATGTGGAGCTGTAATGGAAAGTACAAAATCTGCTCTGGAGCTACACCCAGACCTCCGTCTATACCAGTGTATATAAACTCTGCCAAAATCAGATTCAGGTACACTAGTTCTTACGTTTCTACTTTCTGTGCTGGTGATGGGCAATTGAGTTTCTTTTAAGACCTGAGCAGAGCCATCTGTAGAGACAGCAGAAAAATAGGAAGTTGAAGAAAAGTGTGAAGCACAACTAATGCAGAAACTCTCCATTTGCTGCTGAGTAATATGAATGCATACATACATACGTGTGTATGTATGTATGCATGCATGCATGCATGCATGCATATTGCTCAGCAGCAAATAGAGAGATCTGCGTAATGCTTCACAGATTCTCCATATCTGTGAGGAACAGGGTTAACAGTGGATTTAGGTAATCAAAGCTAGAGTAAAAGCCTTCAGCAGAGACACTCTTTCTGTTCTTGTCATCACTTTTTCAAAGGAATGTGTGAAATGGCCTTGAATGGAGGGAGATGTGTAGTTAGAGTAGGAAGTGACTCATTTGGTCAATGAAGGCCTACTAACAGGAGGGAGGTGATGTAGACTGACTGTAGCTCGGATGGATGAGCATGACTTTGGCTGAAGTCCAATGCTAACAAAAGCCTGAAACATTGAACAGTAGCACTAAGTTTTCCTGCTGAGGAAAAGGGCCATGATGTGAAGCTATTTTGTACAGTTACATTAGGAGTACCTTCGTTGTGTGATTTTTTAAATAATAGACTTTGCTGCCCTGTGATGTAAAATATCTCTTTGAAGAGAACCCTTCTACACGTACATAGAAAATCATCCTTTTAAGATTTCAGTTAATGATTATCAGGATTATTGATGGCTGTATCTGTCCAAGGCCATCTGGCTGTAAACAGATGATGCATTTCCTTGGTGAAAACACTGTAACATTCCTTTACAGTATTTCTCAGACCTCACTCCCTCATCTTTCTTTGGTTGTTAGCTTTATAACAGCTGTAGGTTAAATATGTGCACAAAGATGGAACTAGCCACTAGAGGGAAACCTGCACGTGTTCATGTGCAAACACACACATGCACTTTCAAACCCACACACATAGATACATGCTGCTTCTCAGTATTTTTGCTGCATTTAACATCCTATATTGCAGTAAAATTAGTTTACCCACCTGCGGTTATTCCCTAGGTCAGTATTTTATGTTGTCATAATCTTCCCCCTTCAAATCTCTATCAAAAACCAATCCCTCTTTTCTTGTGCTACATGGGGGGGTTGGTTGACTATTTGGTGGAGTTTGGGAAATAAAAAATTTACTGTATTTGTGAACTTCCAAGATGAGGTTCCCTCCCCATTTAATGTGGGGGAAAAGCCCCTTGACTTAGAATTGCATACGAGGGCATTGGGAGGGAGGGGAAGGGGAGCAGGTGGCTGCTGTGGCTTAGGCTCCAGCCCCTATCAGGGTCAGGGCCATAGCTGCAATGCTGTCTGCCTTCCCCCACCTCTGTTCCCTGCTATCTCCTTCCTACAAGCCTCTTTCTCCCCCATCTCCTCCCCCACATACCCTCTGTTTCCCCTCCTGCCCCTCTTAGCTTTGCTCCATGCTGGCAGACTCCACGCTGCAGCCTGGAGCACTAAGCATGGCTCTAGCTTGGCCCTGCAGCAGCAGCACACAACCTACATGGCTGCTACAGGGCCTGGGCTGGGGCTGTGCCGTGTTCCCCAGGCAAGAATGGGATTGAAGTCTGCTAGTGCTGAGGAGAGGCTGAGGGGAGAGAGAAAGCAGAAACTCAGGGTTGGCGGGGAGGGAGAGAAGAGGCTGAAGTAAGTGGGGAAGAGCAGAGACTGGGGGGAAGGGGGAAAGCAGAGGCTAAGGGAAAGGGGGGCAGAGGAAGAGGAAGCCAAGGCTGCAGGCAGGGGGAAGAGCTGGCAGGGGGAGAGGCACAAGCAGGGGGCAAGTTTCTTGACCTTCCCACACTGCCGCCCTCCCCTCTCTCCCCTCCACTGTCTGCCCTCCTGCAGTGGTAAGAGGGATGAATTAAAGGTGACCCTCCAATAATTAGATCCCACACACAGGAAATTATAACAAATTTATAAATTTTCCATGTATAGTATCTAACTACTGGGGGGGGGGTCATGTTAAATTCAGGATCATCTTAGATTCGAGTAATGATGGTTATTACAAAGATAAAGTTAAAGTGGAAGATGCACCCATCAAATGCATTGTATCTTACTGTAGCCCTTAATATCCTTCCTCTGTCATCCGGATATTTAACCATAATGTTCAGGGCATGTAGTAAAGGTTATCAGTTGCATGGGGCAGGGATATTATCAGCTGCTTCTTCATAGGAAAACAGAGGTATACTTAGTTAGGGATGTACAGAAATGGTAGGAAAAATGTCTCCTCTTAAGAAAAATGTCTGCTAGAAAAAGGTAACCTACTTTAAAGTGGTGTATAATCTGGGACTTGCATCATAGAATAAATATGGAAAGTGCTTTTGATTGGAACTGTGTGGTTTTCTGAGCTGGCAGCCTTAATGGGACCAAGGAGATATTTCCCAGGCAAATGTACCCTACCAGGGAACAAAGAAGAGATTCTGTGGCAGCAAGAGGGAGGCTAGTGTGGCTGCAAATCTTTGAAAGGCTGTGTTTCAGAATACAGAGAAAGTTTCTGCACAGCTGCTTAATGCTTAGTGAACACTGTGTCATCCCAGTAGGCACAGTAATAGGTAGCTGCATCGTCCTTGCTTATTCTTCTTACTGTAAGAGTACAGATGGATGCAGTGGGTATCTTTTCTGCTTCAAACTTCCCTTTATCAGAATCTCGGTCAAAGGTAAGTGTTTCTGATGACAAGTAGAGAATCCGCTCTGGAGCCTTCCCTGGCTTCTGTCGATACCAGTGTATATAAGCACTGTCCAAGTTTATGCCAGAAACACGACAATGAATTGGTGCAGTTTTACTTTGGCCTTTGGTGATGGATAGCTGAGATTGCGTGAGCTCTTGGGTATCTCCATCTGTAAGCAAAGGGAGATATAAAGATACCATGAGTATGAAACTGAATGAAGTTGGCGGATCTCAAATAATTGTTCTCTGTTGTTCCTGCTCATAGAAGCCCATGCTGAAACTCCAACTTACAAGAGCAAATTATTGAAATGACAAGAAGAACCTGCAGTGGAAACATGATAGTTACACTAATGGTGCACCTGCTTCTGAGAACCAGAGGAAGAGGCATCCTCATCTAAGATGGAGGAAGCGGTGCATTTGTGGAAAGGAAGTGAGTGACTCATCAATAAGTGACTCTAATGGTAGCTCTGCTGGCTGCATGTGAACCAGTAGTGGCCTTAGGGGAGGGCAAACTGGGAGAACCGCCTGGGGCCCCACACTTTAGGGGGCCCAAAAATTTTTTGGGGAGGTAAAGTTTTTGCAAGGGCTCTATTTGCATTTTAACACTCAACTATTTATCTAATTTCCCCAACGAATATTAAAAAGATCCATGATACTACTTGGTGGGTTAATATTTACCTGAGTACATACCTCTAAGGGGTCCCAAATGATTCTCTTACCCAGGACCTCAACAAGCCTAAGGCCACCATTGACATGAACTATCAAGAAGCAACATATAGGTACTACAGCTGTACATGAAAATCCATTGCAGTCATCTAGTCTGACTTCCTGCAGGCCATGGACCATAGGACTTCCCTGCATTAATTGGAACAGAAATATATCTTTTAAGAAGAAAAAACAACCAAAATTGATATAAAAGTGGCCAGTGATGCAGACTCCATCCCTGCTCCTCGTACGTTGTTCCAATGTCTAATTATTTACACAGTGAAATGTGCCATTTCCAAGCAAAATTTGTCTAGCTTCAACTTGCAGCCATTGAAAGTTGTTATACTAGATTGAAGGGCTTGTTCTCAAGATTTGTTCCACTGTTCTATTCAGGATATAGTACTAGTGTAGGTGATGATGTTGGGGATCTTCAGTTTGTTACTTTTCATGAATTAATGGAAGGGACCTTCCATTCAGCTATATTTTAGGACATTCCAAAATGCTAGGGGGGCTTACTGGAGTACATTAAACTATTGCCTGGTGAATCCCCACCAGATTTACTCCTAGTTCAGTTCCACCAGATTGTAGCAACTGTGAAGATTATGTTACACAAGGATGTTTGTGGAACCAGTGCATTGACTAGCCATAATCCCTTTATATCAGCTGGGATCCAGATTAGACAACATTAGGGGTAAAAATACCTGTAATAGCGTTCCTGTAGGACCATGGCAGACATAGCTTGAAAATAGGAGTCAAAATCTTTTTGCCATAGAAAGATGATAGAGTCAAAATAACTGAGATTTTTTTAAAAGGATAATATCTTTATGAGCATAACAGCAAGAGCATTATAAAGTTTTCGTTTTTCCACAAGGATTGAATATGTGATTTGGACAGTAAATAAGCACAGTGGATATCAATTAAGTATCCAAAGCAAAATGAAAAGATTAGCATTTTGCATGTATATAGAGCCTTTTTCACCCAAAGGTCTTAATTTTTAAGAACAAATGTTTCCAAAAAGCTCAACACAGGTGTCCTCTCATTTCAGACAATAACAAAACTCCCATTTTAGTCAACGACAGAATTCACACTGGCTTCATTAGGAGCAGAATCTGACTTGTGCTGAGAGCTTTGGATAACCACAAAGACCATCAGAACAGAGCAGCAAAGTGACACAATGGTTTCATACAACACCAGTACGTAAGGTATTATCTATCCATTAAAAATGCAAAAGAATTCTGTTGTGGAGCACACTGTCTGAACTTAACATTTGTATGGTGTGAAATAGTGCAAAAGTGCTCCGATTTTTGGGAAAAGTAGCAAAGGACCTTCAGTGACAAATATTGTAGAATTTAGTTTTTAGGTTTCAGCTGAAGGACAACACCTTGAGTAGTGTGATAATTGTTCATATTAGTCCTGGCTGTTGGTTCAGTACTGAGTCCTGGAACAGACAGCTGCCTGCTAATAATCTACCATTGCTTTTGAATGCACTTAAGATTTCATTAGAAATGTTGCCTTCATGACAAACACCTGTGCTTCTTTGCTTATTAAATGAAGGCAGAGCAATACACTTCACAGGCTTCTTGTATATCTTCCTGCATGGCACAAATGACCACATCCTTTTGTGTCTGCAAAAGTTTACGCTTTTAAAATGTTTATTTTTGCCATCTGTTTGAGCATTTAGAGTATGTGGTTGTGGTTATCTACTGAAAATAAGTATGTTTGTGCAACTTCTCAGCTCAAAAACAAGGTTAAGGAGCTGTTTGATTTTATGTGGTTCCAGTTAGAGAATGTTTTTTGTACTGGGCACATCTATATGAGATGTTTACAGTGAAGCTGACTAATTAGCTCTGCAGTAAAGGCTCAGTGTCTACATGTGCAGGACAATTAGGCTGGAGGAAACTAATAAATACAAGTACTACCCTGCTGCAGAGTTTTTTCACATGCAGCAGTGCATGTGTAGACACTGATGCAGCTGGCTGGAGCACAAAGGTACTTCAGTGCAGGGCTGCCTGCTGGCTAGTCCCACACTGGAGCACCCTTCTGCCCCAGCCAGCCCTTCCTCAGCATGTTGAACCAGACTGGGGCAGCCCTGGACTGGCAGGCTACCAGCTGGGGCTGCTCCAACCCGGCTCAACATGCTGCGTGTAAATGCACACAAGTAAATGCGGTGCCTGGAGCGATAAATTTTGGCGTGATAAGCTACAAAGTTTACCGCTTCACATTAATATGCATGTGTAGATGCACCTGCTGTTTGATCCCATCATGCACCCGTAACAAGCCGTATGATCCCAAGTAGTACAATAATGGGTAGCTGTGTCATTATGAGGTACCTCATTTTCTATTAGGATGGAAATGTGCTTCTCCAGGTCCTTTTCACAGTGAAACTTGTTCTGATCAGAGTTTGCATCAAAGTTGATCTCTGATACTGAGGAAAAATGAGTATATTCCACTCTGGAGCCCTATCTGATGTTTGTCAATAGCAGTAGATAACAGCACTCAAAAAGTTTTTTAGGCCAGAGATGTCACAGTCCACACATACTGTTTTATTTTCTTCTTTTTATTCAACTTTGTTTCAGCTGTATTTGTACATGTCCATCTAGAAAAACAAGATAAGGGGGGAAAACATGACATCAGCAAGAATCCAGAGCACATCTGGTTGTTGCTCAATAAAGTACATTTGTTGTAGAAAATGATAAATGAGAAATTTTAAGGCCAAATTAAACCTACAATAAGAATCTGGAGCAGTAACCTTCTGACAGGTTTTGCTAAGGCAAATATAAATGCTGCATGGGGGTGAAGGGAGGTGCATCTGGAGAGAGCAAGTGACTCACCTAGGTAACATCTGATGAGAGTTTACTGGCTGAAAATGAATTGTTTTAAGATAAGGGACAATTATTGTTCTTGGCTAAAAGTTACTTTGGGGGAGTATCAGTGCAACTTAGCATGACACAAACACTCTCTCTCTCTTTAGACCAGGATCTACCCATCTTATCATAGAAGTCAGCTGAGTTAATAAGTGATTGCCCTTGACTATGATTGCTACCTATGCCTTCAGTTACACAGGCTCCCATAGGCTTCAGGAAGGGCTGTGTCACCATTGTGCTTCTTGGTGTATTGTACATACAGTATTTAAAGCCACATTTTCTGTTGGCATCCACAGGCATAGTTCATCCATTTACACTAAGAAAGCACTTGGTCTTTAAAACTACAAACTACAAACAAGTGTAAATGTAGTGTAAACTACATTTACACTAAGAGAGTACTTGGCCTTCAAAACTACCCTTTTTCCACTGCTCATAAAGCATCACTATCAATTACTGAAGGTTTCTTGTAGGAGTTGCAGGAGAAATGGGTCTGAGAAGGGACTGAAGGAGGAGGGTGTAGGAGCCCCAGGAATCAGTGCATAGGGGGAGTTGAAAACTGAAGCAGGGATTTTATATTTGTCTTGCACAGAATAGACCAAATACATGGTTGGGGCTCCTAGTTGTTACTGTAATAACAGCACATAATACACATGCAATGGAGAAGAAGGGAGTGGCAAAATTGTCTTGATGGCACAGAAAAGACTTCTATGTCCCCTACCCATGGCCTGAACATAGAAAATATTACCCATTGGGATTCCAAGGCCAGCAAATGGGAATTCAGAGCCTCCTAAAGAACAAACGCCTTCTCAAGAATCAGTCCTAGCAAGAGTCCCAGATGTGAAGTCTATTTCACTGGGCTTGCTTAGATCTTGCACAGGATTTGAGCGATGTCAATGTGGGTAATGAATCTATGTGCTGATGATGCCACCTGCTGATACAGGAGAGCCCAGATCCAGGAACTCCCTGTTTTACCCTATTGCTAAACAAGGCCAATTATGTACTAGTGTCTTTTTTATCATTAACCTATCTTCTATTCTATTTTCCATTCTGTTCCAGTCCATGTGTCATCAGTAAACTTTATCAGTGATGAGTTTCTGTTTTGCTACAAGTCCTTGATAGACGTATTAAATCAGTGGCTCCCAACCCTTTATTTGCTGTGACCCTAAATTGGCCACTAACAGGACCTCCCGACCTGGCGCCATGGGGACTGCTGGGAGTGGAGTATGGCAGTGGCAGTGGCCCAGGGGCAGGCAGGGGAACTGCCATTGCCCCCTTTGTGCATGGCGGCCCTGCCCCACCCACCCGCCTGCTACTCCTGGGCTGCACACAAGTGTGAATGTGCGTGTGTGTGCGAGCCCTTCACAACCCTACTGAGGACCCCCTGCAACCCTGACTTGGGTTGTGCCCTGAGGTTGGGAACCAATGTATTAAATGAAAAGTGTAAGGAACTGATCAGGGGCATATCCAGGATTTGGCAAAGGGGGTGTGGGAGCAGCAACACATGCTGCAGGAGTGGCTGCATCCCCTGCTCCCAGCCCCCCACTCCTTTTTATAAAATATATTTTGTTTCCTTTTGATAACTGATCCAATTTTCCATATTTTTCACTGTTTTCCAGTACCAGTATTTTGCTTATATGTTTTTCAGACTTCATTCAGTTGGCCAGGTTTACACCTTGTGCCATCTTTCAAGTATTGGCAAACACATTTCTGATGCTTCCTTGGAATTCACTTCTCTTAGGCCAGACCTGCATATCATTTGCCATTTGCTATCTATTGAAAAAACTAATCAGAGCTTCTGGAGATGGTTCCAGGCTGAAAAGAAGAACTGGAGTTGTGTGTGTCTCACATATGGAAGGCTGTGGTTCAGAAAGCAGAGAGGGCTTTTTGTACAGGTTGTTAATAGCTTTCTGATGCTGTGCCTGTCCAAGTGGCACAATAATAAGTAGCAGCATCACTGGAGGTTATTCTTCTTATTGTCAGGATACAGAGGGACTTGTCAATTTTCTTTTCTGCATTAAACCTTTCCTTATCAGAGTCACTGTCAAGGTGGAGTTGTGATGAAAAGTACAGAATTCGCTCTGGAGGTGCACCAGGTCTCTGTCGATACCAATGGATATAAGCATTGCTAAAATCAGATACGGTTGCATGGCATTCAATTCGTATGGTTTTACTTTCTGCCTTGGTGATAGACACTTGAGTTTCTTTCAGTACTTGTGCGGAGCCATCTGTAGACAAAGAAGAATACAAAAAAATAGATGTACAATTAATGTAGAAGCTCTCAGCCTGCAGCTGAGTAGTGCACCTATCTATTATGTGAAAACAAGGTGAAGACATTTACATAAATAAACCAAAGCCAGAATGAAAGCCTTCAGCTGTGACATTCTTCCTTCTCCTTTGGCAAGCAGTTTTCAAAGGAAAATGATAGATGATCTTAAATGGAAGGAGAGGCGTGGCTGGGTAAAGGAAGTGACTCCTTCAGGATAACAACCAATGAAGCCCTACTGGCTGCAGAGAGGGTAGTTCGATACAGTACAGTATGCCTACTGCTTGGTCTGACTACACTGATTGGGTGTATCTAAACGTGCTATTAATGTAACACAATAAACTCTGGCACAGTTCGCACTGGAGTTTGTTGCTTCTGGGCACTGCATTTACATGTGCGTCTGGGTCCACAGCATGTTTGAGCTGAGGTGGAGCAGCCCCAGCTGATAGTGGGCTCCAGGGGTCAGCCTGCCTGCCCAGGGCTGCTCCAGCCTGCCCCAACATGCTGTGGAGGGGCTGGTTAGGGCACAAGGGTGCTACAGTGTGGGGCTGGCTGGCAGGCAACCCCCACACTGAAGCACTCTTGTGCCCCAGGCAGTCCTGTCACTGTCTACATTGCAGCACACTAAATAATGCCACTGTAGCATAGTACTTGTGTTGGGTAGTACTATTCTACAGCAGACCTAACAGAGACATATGAGTAGGTGGTGACATTTGATTGCGGACCTAATTAGTCAGTGTAGAGGTGCCCGCTTTCAGTGAAGTCCAGTACTAGCCGTAGTCTGAAACATTGAATATAGCACTAAGTTTTATGCCAGCTCTGGAATGGGGCTGACCCATGAAGGTATTTTACAGAGTTAACTTGTAAGAAACTTCAGGTGTTATTACTATTGTCCTCTAGTGACTAACCTAGTGCTGAGAGTTTTTCCATCTGAACAAACAAGAAAAAATATTTTTAAGATCAGTAGTTGCTAGGCATGTAATGGACTACATTTTTCAAGGGGCTTTTGTTATAGAGAGATGATGTGTTCCCCTGGTAAAAGGTACATTAAAATGCCAATATGAGAGTGCACATTTTCCCATAAAGACATTCTTTGGTACTTGGCTGGGTAGGTGGTGTATTCCCTACACATTAGCGAATCTTGAACCACCTACTTAAAGGTATTGTAAGCACAAGTGTGTGTACACACTCACACTCACACTTTAGTAGACAGTACTTTTATAGCTTTTAACATTCTATTTTTTGTATGAATAGTTTATAGATTTACTATTTTATTGTAACCTAATTTTATTAGAGAGCTATGTTGTTTTCTGAGAGGTCAGCTCCTAGACTAAGGTCAGGTCTGCATAGCAAACTTACCATAAAAGAGGTGGCAAAATCAGACATCTGAATTTGCCTGTATAAGCCATCCTCCCAAATCAGAAGCAGTATAGCCAGATCCACAGGGCATCACTACTCAGTGTGTGTGTCTACATGTGCATTTACTCCTAGGGTCGGGTGGACATTGCTCAGTCCATCCATAGGCCAGATTCAGATCTAGATGTGCAGTAACTTACTGTGCAATAAGCAGTTTTACCTCCTCCCCCCCCCACTCCCTGCAGCAGAAGGGGGCAGCACAGAGCAGGCAGGACTGGGGCTGTGTCATCTGTCTGTAGCACCCAGAACTGCTTCCCCTGCCCCACAGAGTCAACCATTCTTGTCTGCTCAGACTGGGCAGGGTTGGGGCTGCATCTGCTCCCAGCACCAATTTCCCCACAATACCTACCTCCATCCCAGGTGTCCGCCAGGCTTCCCTGCCACTAGGACACACTACCCCAACCCTGCCTGGGCTAAGCCAACAAGAGCAGCTTACTCTGTGGGGTAGGGAAAGCAGTGCCAGGTGCAGCAGACAGATAAGCCAGCCCCAGCCCTGCCTGTTCGGCTCTACACGCTTTCCCTGCAGGGAGTCTGCCTCTCCCTGCTGCCAGAACCACGGCTCTGAAGCAGCACACACAGTGGTACCTGGTGACAGTGTGCTGTCCCACAGGCTCAGCTCCTGCCTGCTCATTCCATATAGTTTTAAGGCCACTAATGCAATGTTGTTTTACACCACCTTAAGGATGCAGGTGTAGACATGCCCAGTGTTACTGTGCAGTAAGGTCTCTACACGTGACTTATCGCACAGTAACTAGCTGCTTGATGCAGGTATCAAATTTACGTGCAAGTCAGTGTACATCACCATAGTTACTGAGCAGTACAGGCATCCACATGTAGACGGTGCCCATGCTGCACTGTAATTTTTAGGTTACTGTGTAGTAATTGCCACTGTCAGTTAACAGGGCTAATTGCCTTGCCCAAAGTGCTGTGTGAACACAGCAGCACTGTTACTGGATTAGGAGTCAGTCCAAATGGAGCTGCATGGTATGTTAAAAGAGCCCATAGGAAGTTTTATGTGCAGACATGGTCCCACAGTGAGGTCTTTCTTGATCCAGACTTAAGTAATGACTTACCGCATTTCTACTCTGTCAAAGTCAGTATGTGTTGTAAAGTGATCCCATCTAGTATTCACCACTATTAAGTTGCTAACTGCTTATGAATCACAGGCATTTATGAATAATAATGAAACAAGACTTGGGGCTGGATGAAGAAGACTTAACCTCTAAAGTAAGTGAGAGTTTTTTATTGAAGTTACATATTGAAGCTGATATTCCAAGTTTATTATCCCTTCCTTTCAAGAAGTATAGTAAGCAGTGCCAAGACAGAATTATTCTAGTGTCAGTTCTAGGTGGTTTTCTCCCCTAGGCAACTTGGGGAACATGTACCCATGCCAAAACTCACTGACCTACAGATAGGAACTGAAAATTGCTGCTTATATTTGCCATTCTGTGATTCCTACTTGGTCTTTTTGCATGGTACAGCCAGGTGTATGTTTCCTGGCAGCTGATAAATAATATAGATTCACAGACTCATAGATTCATAGACACTAGGGCTGGAAGGGACCTCGGAAAATCAGCGAGTCCAGCCCCCTACCCTAGGAGCAGGAAGTCAGCAGGGATCATAGGATCCCAGCAAGATAAGCATCCAAATGTCTCTTGAAGGTGTTCAGAGTAGGTGCTTGAACCGCCTCTGGCGGCAGTCTATTCCAAACCTTGGGGGCTCGGACAGTAAAGAAGTTCTTCCTTATGTCCAGCCTGAAACCATCATGGAGGAGTTTGTGACTGTTCGACCTTGTCATCCCTTGGGGTGCTCTGGTGAACACAGGCTCCCCCAGAACCTGGTGGTCACCCCTGATAAACTTATAGGTGGCCACCACATCACCCCTGAGCCTGCACTTTTCCAGGCTGAAGAGTCCCATGGCTCTCAGCCTCTCGTCATAAGGTCTGTTTTCCTGACCTCTGATCATGCACATGGCTCTCCTCTGCACCCTCTCAAGCTTTTCCACATCCTTTTTGAATTGCAGAGCCCAAAACTGGACACAGTACTCCAGCTGCGGCCTCACCAAGGCCAAGTACAACGGGAGAATGACGTCCCAGGATTTGCTTGAGAAGCATCTATGGATGCAAGCCAGTGTTTTGCTTGCTTTACTAGCCTCAGCATCACACTGAAGGCTCATGTTCATTTTGTGGTCAATGATGATCCCCAAGTCCCTTTCATCTGTAGTGCTAACCAGCATAACTGTGCTGAGCCTATAAGCATGCTGCAGGTTTTTCTTCCCAAGGTGGAGAACCTTGCATTTTCAGTGTTAAACACCATCAGGTTCTCGTCCACCCATTTCCTGAGCCTGTCATGGTCTGCCTGGATCACCTGCCTGTCCTCAGGTGTGGATGCTTTACCCCAGAGTTTGGTGTCCTGTGTTGCCTGCAGGAGCTAGCAACTTAGCAGGCTCTGCTGGGGCTGCAAGAGGTTCATACCTGTTGCAAAGCTCCAGCAGGGCGGGAACTTTGGTGCGGTGGGCCTTGGAGCCCTTGGCCACCTTGATCCAACCCCTGGGCTGGACAGCATGGGAGGTCCTCGAGTCCTCCCCAGTCCTGGAAGGTGACCGTGGTCTACCTTCCGCCTTCCGGGGGAGAAGGGCCTGACAGTAGGAGTCGATCTCCTGCTCACAGTCCCTGATGGCAGGCAGTCTCTGGACTGCGGCCTGGAGCTCCTCCAACTGGTGCACCAGAGACCCCAAAAGGCAGCATATCTCACAAGAGGAGGTGGCCATGCTCCTGGATCCCAAAGCCTGAAAAAGTGTCAAGCAGCCCCCGCAGCCGAGAGCCAGGGGCTCCATCTGTGTGGAGCCCAGAACCATGGGCTCCGTCTGGGTGGAGGCTTCTGAGGTGCCAGAGGGGAGGCCACAGGCAGTGTGTGCCCATCTGCGGCATGCCACTAGTAGGCTGCCTACGGCTGGGACTGCCTACCCTAGGGGGCTCACAGGCAGGGCCTCAGGCCCTCCCACGCGCCCTCCTGCGGAAACTCCCATGCTAACTCATGCACTGGGCCCAGGAGCATGCCTGTTTACGCGGCCTGTTCGTGAGGCTCTGGCTGCACACCTCCCTGGAGGGCTGGGCGAAGTAGGAGCTGGGGTGGGCTGGGGTGTGACCCTCCTTGGCCCATTCAGCCTGCTCCCAGCTCTCTCGGTCCCTCCCACCATGGACCGGGGCTCATCAGCAGTCCTGGGGTCTCTCCTGGGGTCCCTGGGCTCACAAGGGTGGAGCAGGCTTACACCCGTGCATCTCACACCGGAGGTCTAAGTTGATTTTCATGTCTTGTTGCATACACAGGAAGGAGTTTGTGCAGCTGGTTTCAGCCTTAGAAGCCTGCTCAAGTACACAGCTTTGAATCCAAACGTTTGAAAGGATGTGGTTCAGCATACAGAGAAAGTTTCTGCCTAGCTACTCAGTATTTTGCTAACACTGTGTTATCCCAGCAGGCACAATAATATGTAGCTGCATCATTCTTGTTTATTTGCTTGACTGTCAAAGTACAGGTAGAATTAGCGAGTTCCTTCTCTACCTCGAACTTCTCCTTCTCAAATCCTTGGTCAATGACAGGTTCTCCTGATAACAAGTAGAGAATCCACTCTGGAGCATTCCCAGGTTTCTGTCGATACCAATGTATATAAGCACTGCTTAGGCTTATCCCAGAAACAACACACTGAATTCGTGCAGTTTTATGTACTCCCTTGGTAATAAAAGATTTAGATTGTTTCAGCACTTGGGCATCTCCACCTAGAAGAAAAAGAAAAGACAAATACCATGAAGACAAAATGGAATGAATTTGGAGAATCTCAAACAATGTATCTATTCATCGAAGCCCAGGTGAGCAGTGACTTACAATAGCAAATTACTGAAATGACAAGAAAAACCCATAGTGGAAACATGTTCACTATGTTATGGTGCCTCTGCTTCAGAGGACTAGATGAGACAGCATCTTATTCTAAGGTGGAGGGAGCAACACATTTGGGGAGAGGAAGTGACTGAATGATATAATGACCAATGGTAGGCTGTTTTGCCTGCACATGAGCTATTGCAAGGCAATATAGATTTATTCTTGCTCTATAGCAGTGGGGGCCAGATGGACATTGCTCCTGGGGCCGGGTGGACATTACTCAGTCCATCCATGGGCCAGATCCAGATAGTGCACCCAATCCAGATCATGGGGCAGTGAGGCAGGGCCTACGTTTGTAAAGGAGGTGGGTGATATTGCCACCTTTAGCTCAATAACCCAGTGGCTAGAATACTTTCCCAAGGAGTGAGAGGCCTAAGATTTAGACATCTTTTTTGTTACCTCAAGCCTGGGACCGTTAAGTCTTTAGAGAGACAAAGCTAGAGCCCACCTATGTTCAGGGTCCCTTATGCAAGCTTAGACACAGAATTAAGATACAGGCTTCCTTAATAATTAAGGTCCCTTAGTGATTGCCCTTTTACATAACAACCTAAGATACAATTACCTTTCCCTGTGATGCTCCACTTTGTCTTAGCAAGTAGGGTACCACTACCACACAAGTCAAATAAAGAAGGAAGAGACAGGTCTGTAGCCCAACCATTTATTGTTTACACCCCAAAATACAAGAAGAAACATTTGTCTGAATCCCCACCTATTGGCAATAGCACAATATATATTCTCATCTACACTAGCTGGGGAGACTCAGGAGGGAAGAGGAGGGTGGCTCACAGACTGACAGCAGGTCATCTTGAATTTCCTGAGGTCTCCAAAATCCCCCACCCACCATCCACTCTACTGTCAATATTTATACATTATGTATTTTAATGAATATTTTCTGATTTGTATTTATTTTCATGTCTTTGTTTCATTGAGACATTGGGAACTGGACTGAATCAGATTATCTATTGGCTTGGAAAATGCCAATTAGCTGGGATTTATGTTCTCATGGACATTACAGTTCTGAAAGGAAGGACTTCTTATCTCTTTCCCTCACCATCTCTGCATGCTACTTGTCCTGTTTTTGGGGGCGGGGTTACTTTGCTATCCAGACCAATTGTAAAATCTACAAAGGTTCACTCTGAAACAGGCTTTGGGGGTTGTGCTTTAACTATATTTGTGCAATTTAGCATAAATCCCTTGAAAATGGCCAATGCTGACAAGAGGTGGTTTTGGTGGTGGTCTTTTTTCCCCCTGTGTGTTCCTGGTTTAACACCCCTAGAGCACCTTCAACTCCCCCTTTCATTTCTTTTCGACACATAACACACATTTTAACTTTACCATATTCAGTTAACAAAAATACATTATTATATTAGGAGGATTCTAGGTGACTATGTGCAATCCTTATCAAAAGGCAAAATATCAGTTGTTACTTTTAACTACTACCAAGCACTTTCAAAAAGCAGTTATTTGCATGTGCCTCAGATTAATATTTAGTGGCCTGGATGAACAGGTTTGTATTCTACTTTTCTTTACTGCTTTTTACTTTATTGCTTATGGCTGACATGCAGGCTTATTGATTATATACAAGCTTAAGGACAAATTCATAATTTGAGGTCCTAGGTGCTAGGTCTGCAGTCAGCACCCATCAGTGTGGTCTGGCCAATCACTGCCTATGTCAGGGGAACAGATCCCCAGATCCCCTTAGCCAGGGTCTACACAGCACATGGAGGGAGGGAAAGCCCCTGTGGTGGGGCCTTTTTGACCCTAAGTAACCCTCCCCGTTCTCTCTTCCCAGCTTTTGATTGCTTTGGTGGCTGCCACAGGAGGGAGGGAAAAGAGGTCCTCCCAGCTGGGTGCTTGCCCATGCAGCCCAGTATGGGGGCTCCTGAGAGTCCCTGCGTTGGGGGACTTCTCTTTACCCCAGCCCAGGGTCCCCCAGTCTGAGGCTGAGGACCAATACACACGTGCCTTAATTAAAGGAATAGCACCATGCTTTCAAACATCAGCAGCTTGCCTCTGGCCCTCCTGCTGCTGTGGCTGTGACAGACACCAAGTCTTGGGCAGGATGAGAGCTTTGAGGCATGCTTCCTCGGGGGCAAAAGAGCAGCTCTGCCAGCAGATGGCTACCGCAGACACCAAGGAAAGAAGCATAGATCTTATCACTGCCTAAGGTGGAAAAGGACAGCTTTCAACTCTGGTGGTTACCAACCAAAGCATAAAGTCTAGGTAGGCACTGTGCTAGACTTACACTTAGCAAAGAAAGTGGGCCACTGGCTCAAATGGCAGATTACAAAGGGAGAAACCATCCCCCTTCTTGGCCGCATCCAGATGAATGCAGTCATGTGGTATGTGGCATTGTAGACTTGTCTGCAGTGCCACACGCAGCATATGCACGCATGCCCCGCACTGCTACCTTGCAGTGGGGAGGGCGGGGG